TCATTCAACGTATGTCTGTTAACAATGAGCGAGAAATCATTAACATGATTGAAATCACTGGGCTTTTATCATATAAATTCCAAATATGTAACATAAATGGAGTTTTACTGCACGTGAAGTGAATTTTGCATTATATTATATTCAACAACGTGAGCCGAGTCTTTCTAGGACTAAACTGTCAAAGGATTAATTGTTCTTATATGAACGCTTGCGAAACACGGATCGATATATACCATGTATATATGTACACACACACATATATATATATAGAGTAAAACTTCGTTTATCCGAACGCGTTTGACAAGGCTGTTTGAATAACCGGGTAACAAAGGCTCGCCAATTTTCTCCATTATTACTTCTCATTCTTACTTATGTATTTGGAAAATAAAAGATATTAGACAACAAAAAACAAAAAGTTGATCAATTGTAATTCCGTATATCTGAAACTCAACATTAACTGGTTCGCGTAAACGAAGCTTGAATAAACAAAGTTCCACTGTTTTATTTACAGTTAAACAGTTTGTTTACGGTTTTTTTCAGTAGTTACATAGCACAACGATATAATCAAAAATTAAATTAAATTATAATGAAATACAGTTGGAGATACTTGTGAGTCAATACAATTCTAATAATAATACAATATCAGAAAACAAATTCGTTGTATAATGAGAAATGCTAACTTCTCACAGAAAAAGAAAAAAATATTAATTTTTTTTACTATATAAAATGTTCTTTTTTTTTTTTACATGATTTCTTCTACACGAAACGCATCCACCGTGTACAACGAGATTCGGATTCATCATGAAAAACGCAAATAAAAGAGATGGAATAGAGATTTTGATAAAAGAATAATTGACGAAAAGGATAAAAAAGGAGAGAAGTATTTTAAATATATAATTTTTTAAATATATAATCGCTAAAGAAAAAACAAATTGTATTTTTTTTTCAAGTTGCTGGCTGGATATCGATGCGATATTGAAACTTAATATACACGTATATTTAAAAATTGCTTCGTAACATGCGATATACACGTATATTTAAAAATTGCTTCGTAACATGCGATGAATTTTTCAAGAAATCAAACATAGTACACGTAATTATGTTTTTCAAAGGTGTTTGCAACGTAAAGGAAAGAACAAAATAAAGTTTTGTGAACCATTTTAAATAAAATGCAAAATACATTGTAACAAAATTCCAAAAACCATGTTCACAAACATATTTGAATATTTATAATACGAATTGTACGAAATTTTACAACACCATATTGTAATAAGACGTGATTATATTATATATATATAAATATTTTTATCCATTATTGAATTATTTGAAAAAAAGAATGCATTGAAAACCCTGAATGATTCCATATAATACCTTAAAAGTAACAACGAGATAAGGTTGAAATTTGAGAAAGATAATGTATTAAATACAATAATATTTATATTATAACGAATGATCTGATTTAATATATTAAAGATAACGAAATAAATAAAATCGAAAATTAAGAGAAATAATGTATCAAATGCTGCAACACTCATATTGTAACGAATATTAATTAAACTGCAGAATATTATGAATATTATAGTAAAATTAGCGGTTTTACTGACACCTACAATATTGATCAAATAGTAAGCAATCAGTCACTTTCGAAAACTTTAATCCAACAATCGAACGACTAATCCATTCTTGCACTTGTTATATGTGTTTATATTATTTAGAAACTTATTTTATTAAAGTTTTTGACTAATAAGAATGCAAAAGAACGACTGTTACAAAGTTTCTTTTGATATAATTTTAATGAAATGCATTAGGAATTTTCTTTTTTAAGTAACATCAATCAGCAAACAATTTGAACCTGGATGTAAATATTTAATATGTAACATTTGTAATATTAATTTCTGTCAAATAATCACATCAATTATTATGATTTATGCCAGTTGCTATTTCCGAGCTAATAGAAATATGAAAGGTTAATATTATTGTTATAGTTTATTAAGCCCGAGATATAATAAATATTTAATTATACAATATTGATTCTTTGCAAAAATCTTTATTCAAATATCGGTCTGCAAAATAATCTGAATATTTAATTGATGGTAGATATTAACTTTTCAATAAACGATATCATATCAATTGCCACAATACATATATTAACGAACTATTAAATTTTCTACAGTTTCAACAGAAATTCGCAAAAGATTCTTTCAAAAATAATATCGGTCCAAGAATGTTTTGAATGTATCATGTGATTCACATCAAACAATTACGTTCGTAACATAATTTATGAAATCGTACAATACGTTCCATTTCGATGAATTTTTATCGAAAATATTTCAACGAACATATCACAACATTGACATGAGAACTGAATAATATCTTTCTGACGAATTCAGGAGAAAGAAAACATTTTTGTTTTCAGCAGCGAAAGATCAGAAATCTATGGACTGTTTCTATAAAAGTATAGGTTTATAAAAATATTGCAATAATGTTAAAACATAAAAACATAAATGTTAAAACATTTTTTTATTCACTAAATTATATTTTTGTTCTCGATGAAACTACATAAATTTATATCAGCTACTTTGAACAGGCTTACTTAAATCAACTTTGAATTATTGCATATTAAAATCCTTACATTCTACTATACGTTTGTTTTCCTGTTTTGAAATTTCAGAATCCGATTATGTATTTTAGTAATAACCTAACCCAGATATTTTTAATTCATTTCAACTCTGGGATTAAGTAGAACTTTAGGGACGATGTAAACGAGGTTTCTGAGGAAAAAAGTGAACTTAATCCTCCTAATCCTCAATCCATCCAATGGATGAAAGATGCGAATTTAGGACGTTGAAGGGATTGTCAGTGAAGTGATCAATGAGATATCTGGGACGACATGACCGAGTAAACTCGCTATTAGAATAATTTAATCCCTGTGCAAGCAACCGGAATGCTTGCAGTTTTATCTCGTGCTTCAAATTTTGCCAATTCAAACATCTTTACGAAAATATAAATATCAAAAATTCACCGTAGTCTTGCAGATTGAGATTCTGCCTTTACAACAATCCATTAAAATTTGTTGTACATATGAGTCTTCTTCACAAAGTTGTAAGAGCTTAAAGTATCGACAACTTTCTATTGATTGTGCGAATAATTATTGCACCACCTGTGTTTCTGTTTCTCGGACATTTCGTTCGAAATCGTCTCGGTTTCTCCTTGAAGAATTTCATACAAGATTAAGGCGAAGAGCATGTCTGAAGGACATGCTGAAACGAAACAGGAAGTATGGGGGTGGCTTCCAGAATTTTTCGTTACTATTACACGAGATTGCCTCGCGTGAGTCGGCAGATATGACGAGCAAGCTCATCATCGCCTGAAAAGGCCTATGATTAGACTACGGATTCAATCTTGTTTTATGAACGCTAACTAAAGAAATAGAAATGTGTTTCATCTGCTATTTCCCCTATCAATTAGCCGACGATTGAAATAATTAAAGTAATCGAGCTGTTGAAAATTTTGCATAATATGAATAAAATTATAACGAAATGAAATCTCACCTACGAAAACTATCACAAGAGCTAAAGTCGATTCAGTTGTAAATCATATCGCCTGAAGAGCGAACGTTCAATCTAAAAAAACTGAACGTTCATATCATAAATCAGTCCAATATCATTGACCTTAACACAAACGAATGGTCGTTTCTTCTCCACGTCGACGTAATTCAAGTCCAAATGAGTACCTCCTCCACGCTCGATAAATTATTCGCCGAATATCGGAATGCACGAAGAATCCTCGCTATTTCGTTTGGTTAAAATCAATGTTACAATACGCATACGCTGGTTCACACCATTTTTGATACAATTTGTTTGTAGACTGTTAAATTGTGTGGAAATTTCTGAAAATGTGTTTATGCTACTGATTAGTTGGAGTTTTAAAACTAAATTTCTATATATGTAGAAGGAATGAACGCGCCAAGATGAATTCTTAATTTTTTGATCGAATTTAGAAAATTATTCCTTTTGCATATTGAAAACATATTATATATATGCAACTCCACAATTATTCTTCGTAATTTCTTGTATGAAACACTCGTACAATGTAAAAGTATTTTGTTGAAAATAACGTTATTGAACAAATCTAACCTAAACACAGTCTACAAATTATAAACGTCTTATAAATTATAAAAGTATTGTGTATAATTTTGGCAAGGTATCTATGATCCTTCGTTCAAACGTCGTTTCACTTTATGCTGTATCTGCATCAAGGATCTGCATCAAGGATCAACAATGATAAAATGTGTGTCGTTTAAAAAGTTTCGAGTCGTCAGAAATTCTCTTCGTGAATGTTATTTTAAAACTGTCTTTTAGGATTTCCGTCAAATTGAGAATACAGCTGACTGGTATTACGAGACAGAAGACAATTAATTCAAATTTAATAGAATGATAGAATTGCGCGAACAAGAGGACGTAATATATATATATATATAGCATTTTAAGTAGCACGAATTTCTCTTGTGAAATTTGTCAATATGATATCTGCGATATAGTAAATACACAGTTTGTTGCACAATATCATCTTTAAACATGAATTTCGTGCCGTGCATATATGCACGTACATATATCGCGTAACAGAAATTCCAGTGAAAATATTCAAATGCGTCAAATTCAGAACTCCGACGAACTTTGTAGTGTAATTTATTTCAAATTTATCGCTTTGCGCTTGTAAAATAGTTTCGAGATAAATATCGACGATCCAGCGGTACAATATTCGCAAAAAGCGAGCATCTTCGTTTCGATAATCGCGCCCGGATGACGTTGTCTTTCTATAATAAACGAATCGTACAAGCTTTAGTGGGTCAAAAGTTTCTCTATCTATTTATTAAAAATAAAACATCAAAATATAAGAAGAAACTAATTTTATCAATTTTTAATTAAATTTAAATTTGTTTCAGTGGAAAATGATTTTTGACGTCGTTTATTTTATCACATTACTCACCTGACGTTTCCCTTGACTTTTCAGAAACGTCGGGAGATTCGCCAGGAGATCTACGAAATCGGATTTACAGTCGGGAACGAACGAAACTGACACGTGTTCTTGGACACGATGAAAGGAAAGTCGATGAAACTGATCTTGCCACGCGTACGAGATGGATTCCCAACGATTTCAACAATTCTGTCAATTTAGATCACTAACTCACCCGCGAGAAAAGTACCAAATGGTGTAATTGAATTATCGAATGGTTACCAATAGATAGGCCGAAACGTAGCGATTTCATCGCTTGAACGAGAGATCAGAATGTCGCTGCAGGATTATAGCACGTCTAACAGCGTGACAATGAGCGATTATTCTAGCAATTCTGACATCGATCGTTCATTTATCAGCAATGTAACGCAGACGTCGACAATGACTTCTATAATGAACGTGACATTATCGACGGTCACGCGGCCTGGACAGACCAATCTGCTGGAAACGTTAATCGTGCCACTGTATGGCATAATATTTCTACTCTCCGTTGTCGGGAATTCATTGGTATTGATCACTCTGGCGCGTAACAAGAGGATGAGGACCGTGACCAACGTTTACTTGTTGAATCTGGTAAGTAAATCTTCCTACCGTGTTGGATATTTTCTATTGCCATTTCAATATTTCATTTTTACCTCGTATATCATTCTCAGTCTTGTTCGTTCATTATTATTTCTTTCAGTTTATTTCAAACGGGTTCGTAGCCATTTTGTTCAATAAATAGTTGGATCATACACTCGTGTCAATTGAAAATGAATAATTTTGGTTTCAATTGCAGTGAAACCAAAGATTCAGATCAGAAGTAAAGCTCAAGAGCAACAATTTTACAGCGACGTAATAAATATATCGACTTTTGTTCAATTTTGTGAAATTTTTAATTTTATAATTAAAGTTACACGGAAGATTAGTTTTATAATGCAACATTCCTCGCGCGTTTTTGACGTCGCTATGATCGAAATTTCGAACATTATTCACCTACAAATGACGCTGTCGTATTAATCGGCTGTTCATTTATCTGATCAGTGATCTGTTAAGAGGCATTGAACTGTAACAAACTGTGTCGGTTTGCCACTTTTACTTCAAAGCAGTCAAGTACGATCACTCGCCTCCTGTGACTGAAGTGGCCATTCTCCCCGAGGTATATCTGCCAAGTTTTCAAGCCAACTAAATCGTTCAGCTTCAGGCTAAACACAAGCATCGTCTCGTCCGACTTGGTCTCGTTCTCCACTCTTCTCTTCGCACGTGGAGTCACTTTTCTCCGTAGGTAGAAACTAACGTGAAATAATTCGTTCAATGATCAATAAAAAAAAAAAAAAAAAAAAA